GGGGGGGGGGGGGCAGAAGTAATATGGTGAATCTGAAAATTGTATAATGTGCTAGATAAATACTATGGAAACAATAAAGCAGAGTAAAACAGGAGGGGCAGGTTGCAATTTTCAACCTGGTGTTCAGATAGGATTCATTGTCAAGGTCACAATTAAGCAAGGACTTCAAGTGATCAGGGAGTTATGTAGTTAGGTGGGAGAAGGAGGGACTGCCAGGGCAAAGGTGGGATCAGCTTCTTAATTTACAAACACAATGCTACAAATACATAACCAGAGGCACCATACCATAGTGCTGTAGTTAGAGAGAGCAAGACTCTGGAGTCAAAATTCTACCCTTGAATCCTAGCTCTACTTTGGGCTACTTGCTTGACCTCTCTGTGCCTCAGTTTTCTTATTGTAAAGTGTGTGTGTGTGGGGGGGTGATATTAATACTACTTACCTCATCAGGCTCTTGTGAAGATTAAGTGAGAAAATAAGCATAAAACACTTAGAACAATGCTTGGCCCACAGTAAACATTCATATTATTTTTAGTAGTACAGATACTATTATTATTACTCATTGAAAAGAAAAACAGAGCAGTAAAATGTGAAAGTTCCCCTTTTTCCAATTTCATTTACCAGAAGCCATTTCTATCTTCAGCCCTGTTTCCAGAATGCATATGATATAATCTTTTTTCCCTCACTTTATATTATAGTGTGCCTTTCCCCCAATGATGATAACTATTCTTTAAAAATATATGATTTCTAATGATAGTATCACATAAATGTAGTATCACACTTGAATTGTTTTCTTATCGTTAATAGTCTATAATGTTTCTAGTTTTTAATTCTTGTGAATGGTGTTGCTTATATATAAAACTTTGTGTACATTTAAAAATTAATCCCTCAGGATAGAATCCTAGAAGTAGAATGACTGGGTCAAAGTAAATTAATCATTTTTAAGACTCTTGAAACTTATTGCTAAATTGTTTTCCAGAAAAGTTACAGCCCCATGAAAGTACTTTGTCACTGGCATTGAATAGTATCTTTTAATTTTTTAATTTGAAAGGCAAAAAAATTGTATCTCACTCTAATCTCCACTTATTATTAATGAAGTTAAGCATTTTCCATTTTATTTATTGTCTATTTGGGTTTGTTCTTTTGTGAATTGCCTTTTCCCCCTTTACCCATTTATTAATATTTTCTTGTTGATATGTAGTTACTAACCCTTTATTATATACATTGTAAATATTTTCCCAGTTCATCATTTGTCTTTTAATTTTGTTTTCTGGTGACACTTTTCATTTTTAGGCAACTAGTTTTTAATTGTCAATATTGTATCCTTTTATCTTAAGAATGTAAGTGCAAAATGGAAAGGTACAGCTCCCATTTAAAGACTAAGCAGTCTACATTACACTGATGATGATGTCTCTGGAAGTCCTTGTGTTTTTAACATACAATGGAAGCTGTAATCTCAAGGAGCACTTGGTTCCAAAATCACTGCAAGACTGTTCCTGTTGGGCTGACTTTGACAGTACACTAGATGCTGCTGCAGAAATCACCAAGACATGGAATAGATAGATGTCTTGATAAATGCAAACTGCATTAGTGTTTCTATTAGATGACCTAGTATGGAGTTGTTATTAGTGCAGCCACCTGCTGGCTATTGCAAAACAAACATTCCAATACAAATTTAAAGAAATATTTCCATTGTTTTTCCAAAAAAGTTAACCCCTCTCCTAACAATATTCAGATCTGATTTTTTTCAGTTGAAATGTATTAAAACACCACCACCAACAACAACAACAAGAAAAGGCTGTAATCAGCTATCATTTCTATCTAATTATTTCCCCTTCTTAAGCCCAGCTCAGTTCCCACCCCTGTAAAGTGTTCTTCACCTGCCTCAGGAGTGTCATCCTCTACTTCTGTAACTTGTTTGAGCAAACATCTATTGATTGATTATCTTTGGGTGCACAGCAGTGAGCCAGGTACCCTGAGAAGAAGACACTTGTCTTTAAAGAGCTTACCATTTAGTAAAGGAAGGAAAAACACAATTAATTATGTTACCCATCCAGATGAAATGAATGCTCCCTGCACTTACCAGCGAGTCGATTCTAAGAGAGGACTGTGGGGAAGTCTTCAAGAGACAGCCTGGGAGAACAGGATAGGCAAGGAAGTTGGACCGTGAAGCCTTGAATTCAAGATAAACGGTGTCTAGTGTATTTTAGGCTTAGGAGCATATGTGACAGAGATACAGAAGATGATGTTGGAAAAGTAATCTGGGGTCATGGATGGTGGACCTTAAATGCTAATTTGGACTTTATTCTGTTTGCAGTAGAATGCCGCTGAATGCTTTTTTTCTTCTTTTTAACAAGTAGCTTTAATTATTTTCTGATTATAAAATTAATAATGATGTTTTCCCAGTTCACAATAGTTTTCGAACTATGAAAGAGTGGATCACATGTTAGAGAACCACTCTTAATATTTTTGGTTTATTCTGTGAGGAGCTTTCTATATATATCCAGCGTATATACACAGCCATACATACCGTTGTATACAGATGGAATGAGACCACACATTGTTTCATAACCCATGCTACTTTACTTCCTGCTGTAACCAGAGCTGATGTGAATGAATGGAGGAGGGGGCCCTGAAGGAGTTGACGACAGGGTCCCTGTGAGAGATGGTGAGGGTCATCAAGCTAGGGCAGTGGGGCAGAAAGACAGGGATGGATGCCAAAGACGTTTCAGAAACAGAACTTGCATTGTATTGCCTGTTTTCATTTTTAAAGTCACATTTCCTTCGTTGCAATTTTCATTTCGATAGCCACTTTTTATATTTTATTTTCTTAACTTTTTCAGGACAAATTGCTGAGTCCTTTGGAAAAATAGTTTCTGTGGTCCCTGGGCAGTGGAGATCAATCAAGTTGTAATTTCATTACTGCCCCCTCACTCTGAGGAGAGGTGGGGGAAGATCCCCCTGCAAGATCATTATTGATTTATGTGGTTTGGACTCATTCTGACTGTGATCACTAAGTATAGACAAAGGATTAAATACTGATTGAGAAGGAATAGCTGGTACAAGCAAAGTTCATTGACAGTGCTTATAGGTTCCAGGCTCTGAGCTATACAAAGAAACGTGCCCAAGGAAGGTCACAGTTAATAATTGTCTGAGCCCAAACTCGAACCCCAGGCTGATTCCAAAGCTTGTGCTCATTTACCATGTAAAATTAGATCACCGGTTACTTAAAATGGATGTTCTGATGTTTAATACATAAAGGGAAATAATAATAAATAAAGGGAAAATCTCCTTAAATCAAAATGTAGCTTAAACCTTTATACTTGTGCCTCTGCACATACTCGGCTTTAATATTCTAAGTGATTAGTTTATAGTTTGAGCAAACATTAGGGTGAGAATGCTAATGACACTCAGTTCCCCAGGCTGTTTGTAAATTTTGGTGCCCTGCTGCCAGTGAGGCCATTGAATCAATTCTTTCAGTGACCAGCAGTTTGCCTGTAAACATTAGGAAAATAAAATAGAAAATGTATATTTATAGCAAGGGCAAAAGTCTATAACGTGTCTTGAACATGGGAGAAAGCAATTGGAAGGCCATTTGTTCCTAGCTCTTAAATTTGGAGGTGGTCTGGGTAGAAGGCACTTTGTATTTTTTTAAAGCCACATTATTAAATAAATATAAAATTAAAAACCCTCCATAATCTATATTATATTATGAGTATGTTATGTTATGTTACATTACATTAATTCTGTTATGTTTATCGCATTGTTTATTCCATCCTACACTACCCTGTGAACCCCACAGAGAGCCATAGTGGATGTTTTATGTTAGTTATTGTCTTGTCCCTGTCATGGCAGCATGAATAGACTTCTTCCATTAGTCTTAGTTCGCCATAGTCAGCCTCCTCTGCCCTCTGTTGTGTT